TCTACATGACTAGGTATATAAATATCCTGTCTCCAATTATGTCCATACATATGGAATTCTGTGCCATTTCAAGCACCATTAAGTTTAGGTGGGCTCCCAAAGCCAACTGCACAACAAATTGCAAGATTGAGTACACCTGCAGAGAAATTAGAAGACCAGACACAATAGTCTGTGTTAAAAGCGAGATTCATATCAAGACTGTCTCAATTTAAATGCAATCCTTTAACTGCCTTACTACAGGGGTAACATCCTTTCCTTACTACAGTCTAATCAACCAAGGTCTTTAAAGAGACAAATAACAGTGGTATTTTTTTCATACACACAATTGAGAAAGCATCTGTATTCACTGATAATTCAGCAGTAACAATAATAATGTTAATATGGGCAAAAGGATCTGTAACAAAGATATTAAGTAGTGAAGTAATAGTGGGTATTGCTGCTGTTATTATCGGTTTTAGGAAGTGAGATTTATATCACTGGAATTCACTAAATGTCAGGTCTTTCCAATTACTTGGCATCATTTAAGTGCTACTTTAAGGACTGACATTATATGTGCTCTAATGCAAGAACACAAAATTAGAGTAGTGCAACCCACACCACTACCCCCAAGCCTCTTTCACAGCAAAACTCTTAGCCCATATTGGTAGTTTTTGAAATTCTAGCCAATCTAGGGATATTTTACTACTCAGAAATGGGAAAATTTATCTTGAAAATTTTCCTAGTCTTGAAAATTAAACTGCTCTGAAAAGGAGAAAATTGCAGCTTCCTCTTTGGAACTAAAAGGAACAAGGATGACTTTTTTTTTTTTTTTTCCCTTGGGAAAACCAAAACTCCTGCAAAAACTAAACAGTAGTTGAGCCCTGAAAAAAAAAAATAAATAAAAACCTACTCAGTTGTCCAAAACTAATCCAAATAACTCTCAATAAAGGCTGAAATCTGTGAATCTGCAGGTAACAAACCTGCCCTTATAATGGAAAGAGCAATGACCTTAAAGGTCTTTTCCATTTGAAACCTGCTGTGATTTGCCTTAGTCTTATGCCATTCAGGAATGCATTACCTCAGTCTTCAGACATTTGACGTTCCTGCAGAAATAACACAGGCTATATAGGAGATACAGGTGCTTCTGTGGCTTTGAAAAATGAGCTATGTGAAAGGTAACATTGCAGTTTGTCTATGTTCAGGTACATTCAAATCCAACAGTTTAGTAGCATTTGAATTTTTATAATGGTTTATTAACAAATATGTCGTTTTCCAGGGAAAAAAAAACACCACCTTTTTGTCATTGACCCTGCAGCTGCATTCGCCAAATCGGAGAAACATTCTGGTGGGGGACAGCAGGCATTAAACCAGGGAAAGTTAGTGGAAATTAATAGGAAGTTAAATTAAAGGGTATCTCTAAGGCTTCTTCTTTGCAATCACAGTACAGACATCTGTCTGAGTCTCTGCTTTTCAACACACCTGAGGCCTTTCACCCTCAGTTTAACAAATTAATTTCAATGTAGAGACCTCCAGCTTATTTAATTTCTTTGCAGCAGTAATTCCCCCCAGTCTTTTACCTTACTTTTTGCTCATAATAATGGAATTCTTTACTTATTTCAGCTCAAAGTCAATTTACAAGTTTACAATCCACTGGCCAGGTTCACTAAGAGTAGTTTGTTGTCAGTGGTTGACAGTCATCTAAGATATAATTTTTTTTTTTCATCATGAAATGTTAAAAGTCCTGTCTTTTTCTAACAAGGAAATTAAAGTAAGCAATTTTAAGACTTATTATTCCTTCCAATATTTGTTAACATTAACTATTATAACTTTGGAAAGGCTTTTACCTGTCCACTATACATCTTTCCAGCCTGATTTCAGCAACTCCCAGTGGTAATAAGTTAGGCTAAGTATGAAATATGCAAACATGCACCTTTTTTGTCCAATCAATCAACTTGCTATTTGCCATCTTTTAATTCCACCAAACACTTTCTTTTGTGGTGGAAAACTAGCAATCTGCCCATATAATTTGGTATCTTACGCTTCCTATTTCTGTCTGACAAGAACTAAATTTTTCTTGCTCCAAGTATATCCACTTTTCCAAGGGCTCCTGGGCAACTCGGCAGTCTGTACCCTATTATCTCTCAATATACTGAAAGCAGTAGGGTAGCTACAGAATAGGCGAAACTGCTGCTTTCTGCATGCATTACTGTTTTAATCAGGCTCTTCAGTTCTGTGCCCAGATACTTCAGAAATCTACCACATATGACTTCTTTCATGATTTACGAAGGAAGCACATATTCTAAGTATAGATAATAATTGCACCATTTAAATGATAATGCCAAGATGTTTTGTATGGGGAGGAGATTCATGCAGGGCATTTCTACCATGAACAGCTCTTTCATAGGGCTATCTATCCTCACACCAGATGTCAAATATGAAAAGAAATACTTTCGCATGAATAACAAAGTTCATTTGACTGAAGGATTTACCTCCTAGGAACAAGAGCCTCATAAACATAAACACTGGGAGCAAAGTGAGCCACGTAAGGGCTTTTGCAAAAATTAAACCCATAACTTGCCACTAGAAATGGGGTGTTTCATCTGTTCAATAAGCACTAAACTTCTCTTTGTTTTTATGGCATCGTAATCTTTGATTACTCTGATAAATATTTGGACTATGCAAAACATTGCAATGGAACTAATCACAGTTATAAAAAAACCTATGTGTGAAAATGAATTAGGAATGCAATGAAACCAGCATATTTTAGAGAAGTTCAAATACAGAACCACATTATTTTAACTGCCTCCTGGCCTCGTTCTTTTATGTCTCCATGTAGTCATTTACACCTGAGAAAAATGGTTATGAAAGTTGTTATGCTAGCTGGCTTTGCATAAGCATAAGTAGGTCACTATACCAGACATGGAATACCAGCCTCGCTCTGTGTCACTGGGTTAACCCAAACCACACAACTGACTAGCAGTAAATTCTAACACAAAACCATGGTCCTGTGCTGACGTTTAAGTCTCTTTGTGTTGAAGTCTGTCTGTGGAATCCATGCTCTCACTCATAACTGTGTATAAAACAGCCTCCACCCTAAGAAGGAAATCTTTCTTTTCCCTTCCTCTCAGCTCACCCACTATTTTTCTTTGCTTTGGTTTTATTGCTCAGGCCACAGCCAGGAACACCATATTGCTGGTAGATCATGTGTGTAATTGTACTCTACCCTTTACTTAAAGTTACAACTCTCCCTATACTTATTACAGTTGTCTGAATGAATGTAAGGTTAAAGAAGAACTCTAGGCATGTCTGTATTGCTTCACGATGAAAAGGCTATTCAGTGTTATTTATTCTTTTATAGTAGGAGATGAAATAACTGTCATTCAGAGCACCATGCACCATTCAGATGCCAGGGGCCTGTATTCTGCCTAAAGCTGAGCTGGAGAAGATCTGTAGTCAAGAAGAGCAACTCAAGAAGAGCTTTCCAATACCTAGAACTGCTTTTCATAATTCCTCTTTAGGAAAATGATCAGACTTCTTTGAGGGCTAGATAAAAGCAACATGGTTGCTTTCAAAACCAAAAAGCTTTTCTCTACCTCATTGTATTCTGAGCAGATGCATTAATGTAAATAAAGTTCAAGTGTAAATCATGTCAGATAAAAAAGTAATTCCAGTGGCTAAAGTCATGCATAGTTTAGTACCAGCAACATTATGGGGTAGTAACAAGAATACATGTGGATCAATGGGTTGTAACTCTATATCACTGATGTGATTGATTGATAGTGTCACGTACTGTCGAATATGTTTAACATACTACTTCTAACAGCTGAAGTCTGCATTTGGTTGCAGCAGTCTAAACCCAGAATAACTGAACCAAAGCAAATGGAGATACTTCAGATGTCACTGATTGGAACAAAGATTGTGAATTTGCACTTAGCATTTATATAGTCCTTTCATCTTCAAAAAGCATCACAAACATTAGTTAATTCTAATTCTTTCATAATGACCTTTCTGCTAGCCTTTTGGGATAAAAGCAAGAAACTGTAAGAAAAAACCTAGCAAGATGTGTAATCAAGTACAAACCAAGCCTCAGATGTGAAAACTATCTCTGCCTCATGCTAGATTTTGTCTCAGCAAGAATGTAAGAACTTTTACCAAGGCTCATGTATTAATTCACCATACAATGTATTTTACTGACATAAAATAATAGTAATAATCCTTGAACAACAGGTTTACTGTCATAGTTATAGGATACAGCTATTCCCTTTTAACAGATAGATAAGGAACTCAAAATAATATTGCATTAAAAAATTTGCTGGGACCTGCCACAGGACAAGCCAGTGAACATCTACGTTAGATACTCTTCAGTCATTCTGGGATTTTTTTACTGCTTCCAATTAAAGTAAGGAATTTCGTGAGTCGTTTTTAGACAGTTTTCTTGGAAGCAGCAGAAGCTTCCTTTACCTACCAGGTCTTTCTGCCCTCCAACGCACACCTGCAATTTGATTATCAATTCTGGGTGGCTCTAAGCCCAGAGTCTCAAATAAGTTCCTCGTGTTCCAGTTGCTTGCACACTTTGTACATAGGAGTGGATTGAAGAAGACAGTACTCATTTTCATGGTGACCCAGAACAGCTATTGTTACAAGAACACCTTTAATCTCCTGTTTCTGTTTTCGAATTGAATTCAAGTAGGAAGAGATGAAAGGAAGTGTCTCACTAATCTGCTACTACAGCTGGTACTTCTTGGTTGATCATATGCTAACTCTAATTCTGTTTGATTCTTCTTAAAATTACTGCTTCTATTTCTTTATTTGACAACCAGGCATTCGTTGCTATTTTTGACGATGAAAAAACCCTTCCCTCCCTCTTTCTTACAGTTACTTCCGCAGGAAAAAAACCCCAAACTTACTGCATTATGATATCAATGCATGAATTTAACCTCTCCCTCGGTAGGTTTTCTTCCACAGTGTGCAAATGAGACATTAAATAATACTTTGCTACTTACAGTCAGGAAAAGACTTACAAAGCAAGCTGAAGAGCGAAAGAAGGATAAGGGTCATGCTGATATGAAGGGCATCGGTTGCACTGCAATCCATTTTGGATTTCTTGCAGGCACACACTTGCAATTTCAGCTCTGTGTTGTTAGTCAGAGGCGGATTCCCAGAATCTGTCACTGAGATTGGGATGTTGTAATTGGCCTTCTTCAGGTTTTGAAGCAGGATGACCTGGGCATGAGTATCTGCAAAGGATAAGGTGAGAATTAGCCAAATAATGAATGTTTGGAAGGAAGGAGGAATCTGCAAACAGACATGCTACAGTTACTCCCGGAAATTAAGAAGAAAATGAGAACAGCCTAAGGAAAAGATTATAGAATTTAATTGCAGGTAAGAGGCAGTACAGAAATTCTTTCCTGGGCTGAGAGCTAATTGCAGACTTATTTCAAACCCCACCAAAAGAGAGACTTTTAAGGGCTTCTTTTTCTTTAAATACACTATTTAAATGTCTGCAAATTATTGGCAGAATTTACCTATGAAAATTAATACACTAATCAAATGCATGTCATCCCCAAAGCAGCATAAAAGGGAAGAATATATGGTTTGATGTTTGGAGATCAGCAAAGAAAAAGACTCCTCCACTTTGTCCTACAGCCAGGTACAGATATCCTGGCTATATCCACCTTTATTTTTTTCTAATAAGAATATGAAACAAACTGCTAAAAGATTCAATAGTGATAGATATAGAGACTACGTGCTAGAAAACAAACAGAAATAATCTATCTTAAAAAGAAATCATAGAATGTATTACTTTGTGTTTACAATTTGGCATATGAACTTTCTGCAACTGCATAGAGTATGCTTTGATCCTCTCATCAGTAGCATATGGTCCCAATGCATTGGAGTATTTTACTTGTGAAGAGTTTAAATACTTAAAATTAGGAAGTTTTTCAACTTATAACCAGTTGTAACATTGTATATTGTAACAATAATCTGCTAAAGCCCATGCAAAAGTTTCATGCTGTCCTAATGCAAAGTGTTGTGTATCTCATGCAAACAAATTCTATGCCACGAAATATGGTGATCTTTAAAAAACTACGAGTCATTAGCAGACTTTCTTTAATGCAAAAGTGAAAGAGGAAAGTTTGTTTAGTGTGGTAAGAGGAGGAAAAAAGTCAGGTTTCAGAGAAAATGCAGACTGTTAGTATGTCCCATGGTCCGAGCAAACAGTATAAAGCACCAGCAATGGGTCCATCCTGCAAGACTTTTGTGCACAACTGCTCCTCAATTCACAAAATAGGCAGCCTCAGGGTGAGTATCTGGAATGTAGGGATAGGGGGACAAAATGTATAATTTAAAGAAGTAATAGACTTACCATTAAGCTTGGCAAGTCTCCACATTTTTTCTGGGCCAGATTGCTTACTCAGTTCAAATTTGAATGGATCTGTGTTGGGAGGAAGGTCTTTGTCTGTTGCTCCGAGTACCACTACCCTGAGATCTTTCGCATCATCACAAACTTTTGCCAGTGTTGGGTAAAGGGATGGGACATTGTCATTGACATCCCCCAAGGTAATGTGTAAAGTTCCTGTACCTGTAGCAGGAGGGTGACCTATATGAAAAAACAAACATATGTTTATTAAATCATACTTCCATAAACACTTGCTCTTATTCATACCTGCATGCTTGCGAAGGGAAATAATTTTTATAATTCTTATCTTTGTTATATCAAAATTGTTGCTTAAAAAATTGATGAGTCAGTATTATAAATTCATTGCTGTATTTACAGAATACAGCCTGTCTGATTCTCTACAGTATGGATAATTATTCTAAGGAAACCTCCAGGAGAGGAATATTTTGAAATTAAAATGAGATTAGGATGTGAAAAGTTATCTGGAAAAGAATCTGTTCATAAATACATACTGAGAGAAACACAGTAAGAAACATGCCCTGGAACAATGGCATGGTATTAAAAGAATCAAGAATAACACAAGTAAGAGGAAATATGACAGCAGAGAGGAATCAATCTGTATGCTGGGTGTCCATAAACAGGACAGGACCAGATCATTCCCCAGCAACCCTTAGGGCCACGCAGAGTTATGTCAGCAGAAGTGAAACCTTTCAATGTGCAGCTCTGGAAAATGGTATCTTTTATTTACCCAGAGTCACCCTGTGTTAGCAGTGGAGTTTCAGTCCTTCTCAGATGACTTGCCAGCCTCAACCCTAACCTGAAAGAACCAGCTTCAGAGGTGAGGATGTTGTCTACTCACCATGGTACTGCTACAAGCCTTTGCGCCAAGGCTGTGACTGACAAAGCAGCCATGGCACTGGAAGCTTTTGTAACAAGGCATCTGCCCACTGGGAGCTGGACTGAGACTAGCACCTCATTTCACAGAGGTCAGAATTCAGCTGACAAGTGGTAATAACTTTCAGCTGTACAGATGTTTGCATGGTCAAGCCAGTAACCTACTGCTTTCAGTCTAAAAGCTCAGTATGTTTTATAGATCCTCTTGCCATCCCATTCTAAATGATGTCAGAGTTTTGTAAATGCACATTACTTCCTTCATTGCCCACCACATTTAATTCCTCATTTGAAATGCTGCACTTCTGTGTTGGTTTTATTACTCATTTTTCTGGTTTGGAACATCAGATCTATGATCTCTGCACATCCCTTAGCTACAAGCCTTTAGCAGGTAGAAAGGATCCAAGAGGTTGCACTTAACCTGTAAAGCACTAGTGCAATGTGTCATGGTAGTTTTTAGTTTAGTACTGAAAGAGGTACATTTTAGCATGATTACCCTGCCTATAGTAGCCCAATAAACTCTGGCATTATTGCTGCACTGTGAGTGCATCCTAAAAGAGAAGTAAGTACCCTGTGGTCTGGATCTGATAAACTACTAACTGTAGCAGAATGTAATTAGTCCTTCCAATAACAAACGTTACTAATGGTGACACTTCATCTGTTTCATGCACACATAAATGCATAACAAAGACAGAATTTTCATAGTTCTTTAGCTCTCTCCCTCCCCTCATCTCATACTTTGTCATCAGTAAGGCTAGGGTTGAGTTCTTTTTAATGAAAAAGAAGCTATTTTTCACTTTTTATTGGTCTAATTGAATTTGCAGAAAGACTCCAATACATTTTTTTGTTCTTGATATATTATTAAGTAAAGTCACATGGCAGAATGAATGAAAAGACATTTGAGTATTTGAAATATGATCATAAAAGCCAGCCTTTCATGCACCTAATTAAACTGCTGTCTTTAATTTTGAATGCATTATTTCCACACTGGACTGATAATGTCTTCTGCACTGCCCTTCTTATCTTTCTCTGAAGTCAGTAATATTAAAATCTGCCTTTTGAAATTAAGAAGCCAACAGCATTATGAATGTACTGTTATTTTGTCAAACGCAGATATGGCTGCATTTTCTCTGCTGTGCCAATGTTTCACCCTTTTTGTATAGCTTTTGGCCCAGCCAACTACTATGCACAAATAGAGAGAAAGGAAATTGCTTCTGTCCATTTCAGTGACTTATTCTCTGGTTGGTTTTTATTTATAATGATTTAAACAAAATCTTCTGGTTATTTATGAAGACCTCCAAAAGAAAAATAAGCAAATGTGAAGGTCATAAACTGAAGCTTGTTAATACACATGTCATAAAAATATGAATAAAGGAAAAATGGTCACAACAGATCCACTGGGAGTATGTGACTTTCATAAATTTGCAGTATTATGCCTTTGAAATAATTAAAAAATCCCATGATCTCCAGACAGCTTTGGCTTTGAAATGAAAGATTTTAATTCTGAAATAAAACTTCTCTTAATTTGTGTTGTAAAACCTTGAAAGCAGAATTAATGTGCAAACTAAGTCATAAAGGACTCTGTCCAACAACCCTTGGGAGTAGCTTTTCAGAAGCTGCTCCCATTTTAGTCAGTGAACTGTGTTGTCCAATTCTTCTGAGACTGAATACTTCAAACCTTTCGGTGTCTTTAGGGCCATTTGGGACAGACATCATTTCAAACTCCTGCTAAGCCTCCCACAAGTGGCACAGCCATGAATATGCTATGACAAATATACGAATGCCACAACGTTACTCAAGTGTGTAAAAGCTGATAAAACAGAGACTGAAGGATGGCTAATTTCATACTGAAAGTGAAAGCTTAGTATTGAATCATGAATTTAATAATCTAATGCAAAACTGAGAACCTTTACAAGTTATCTTCAATGAGACTGAAATGCAAGGAAGGTCTTTCAAGTTAGTTGAGGTCTGTGGGACTGGAACTTTGATCAGCAACACTAAAATAGCATATATTCATCTTAGAACATACCGTAGGTAGAAATGTATGATGCACTTATCTGGATTGGGTCATGACTGGTAATTTCTTCCGATCCTGGCTTTAGACTGCATACAATATTATGTATATTGCACATACTACTAATAGTTGTCTGCAGTTAGGCAATAGCCACTGCTGTTGTAAGATGCAACTAGTGAAAAATAGACTAACAAAGTAGTTCTATTTTATGAGTTAGAGAGTGCCACAGAATACGATGGGGTCTATTGTCTGTGAAGTAGAATCTGTAATGCAAGGGACTGTTACTAGAATGTTTTAGTGCTATCAGCAGAAATGACCAGGTTGCTTCCTTTAGTTAAGAAAAAAAATAGTTTCAGAAAAATATTATAGATACAGATTCTTTGTATATTTCTGAATTTTAATGAAAAAACATGCAGAATAGTATCAAAATTATTAATGTAAAGCCTTAAATTATAAGCCCTCTGTAGAAACACACAGCCAAGAAATTTGAAAGCTGGCATTCAATTTAGGTCCGAAAGGTTCCTGTAGGAACAGCAATGGCATTTAGACATCAAACTACTCAAAGGAGACTGCCAATCAGGTACTTAGTTTCTTAAAAGATACCAATTATGCACAATGATGGTCATGAACCAAGATGACATTTCTCTTAAGTATCAAGACTTGTATCAAATGGCATGTCTAACAAGCAATCATATGGTTGAATGGCTGATGATGCATTTAATCTGAGCATAACATTTTTATAGACATGAAGAGCCATTTTATGTTCCTCTTTCTAGTTTTCCTACTGAAATGTGATGCTGTTGTGTACAGATTTCTAACATGGCTGAGCTGTGCTCTGTGAAATTAAAGACAGTAGCTGGACTGCTTTGAATTTGAATTAAGACATTCCTGGTCAGTTCACACTGAAATACCAACAACTTTCATTTATTTGAAATGACAGCAAAAATACAGATTTAGGAATTGAGGTTTGCTGGTATGTCTCATACAGTAAGAAGTCAAACACCCCTAAAAAGTCAGTGAACCCTGAGAACTTAAGTTTTAGGAACTGGGAACTTAATTTAATCCAAAGAAAAACACATAGTGTGACTCAGGGTTGCCTATATGACATCCTATTTCTTTGCACAATGTAAACACTCCTGCACTTCTATCTTGCCTTCTTACTGCAAGCATCAGACTGACTGAGGGATCCTCACTGCAGGAGTAAGTCTGCAGTAATGTCTTAATGTGGTAGGACAAGTGGTAATGGGTTTAAACTAAAACAGTAGAAATTCAGGTTAGATATAAGGAAGAAGTTCTTCACAGTGAGGGTGGTGAGGCACTGGAATAGGTTGCCCAAGGAAGTTGTGAATGCTCCAACCCTGGAGGTGTTCAAGACCAGGTTGAACATAGCTTTGGTCGACATAGTTTAGTGTGTGGTGTCCCTGCTCATGGCAGGGGGGTTGGAACTAGATGATCTTAAGGTCCTTTCCAACCCTAACTATTCTATGATTCTATGAATGTGACACCATATCTTGGGCAGACATATCCACAGCAACTTTAAAATAGTCAAGGCAGATACTAAGAAATATGTAGCATCAAATTATTAATATGAAAGTTGTTTTCGTGTGTTTCAACTCAAAATGTGACTTTCATGGATTATTTTAAGTTCATACACATTTTAATCTAATGCTGAGGAAGCCTTGATGAATACAATGCTGGCTACAGCGATATCTGGGCCGTGTCACCCTGTTATTTACACAGTAGTATTTTGCTCCACTAACTGAGCTCTATCAACAATGGAGAAACAATTTAGGCACTTCATTGTCGGAATCACAACAGTTATATTTGGAAAAGCTATTCTCTTCTAGAAGTACAGCTGAGCATGAGTGTAAGTAAAAACAGACATCCATCAACACTAAATTGTCAGTGTGCACTTAGAGAAGCTGGTCAGAAACATTTCAAGATAGTCATTTAAATACATCTTCTTGAAGAGAAAACACAACATAAAGGTTTAATGCTTTTTTCCAGCTTTCCTCTTTTGATTTGCAGCAAATCTCAAGATTAACATAAATGACCCTGATTACATTTTTCCAAGCATTCAAAAACATTAGTGAGTTTAGATAGTTCTTGAAGAGATGCATATTCCTTAAACTAATGGAAAGGTTCTTAAGAACATTGCTGCTTTAAGTATAAAATCATATTTGGTCAACAGACCACCCCAAATCAAGGAATAAAACTAATATTTGTCCACCCTACTTTGAGATTGCTGAGTTCTAAAATTTTTAAATCCCTCTTTAGGATAACTGAGGTGCATTTT